ACTAGCTGGGCGAGGTACTGAAACTCTTTCTTAGTTGCTAGCATAGGGACCCGACTTGGACCCGCTCCATTGTTATTGGGTAGCTCCCTCACTACTGGTATCTCGTTAGAGACCACTGTGGCTATGTCCCTCTCTAGAGCTCTCCTCTTGAGACTAAAATAGTCTACATGGATAGTGAAGGAATTAGTACTCAACTCTCCGTACCTCTGGATGTCCTTATACCACCACGTCTCATCATACCACCATGGATACTCTTCTCCCTGTGTGACCTTGCTAATGGTTTCCTCCGAATTTCCACTTCTACTAGGACAGACAGCCATCTCCTAAGCTTTCTGTAATCCAAATAACCAATTGGGCCTATTATGAACAGTACATAAGGTCCTCCTCAAAATTCGAAGTATAAAAACTTTGTTCTGATTGCCAGAACCTCCACTTTGATACCAAAAATGTCACACCTTACTAATATATTGACTTAGATTCCTTTTAAAACCATTTTTGATCACATTGGATGGTCTTGAGCTCACTTTTTACCATAAAAACGCTAAATTTCATATTTTTACTATTCATCGGGTAAAAATGCAGTTTTTCTGTCCCAACTTAAAAAAAAATCCAATTGGAGTGGTTTAAAATTCTACTTAAATCTCTTTAACTCCTCTTTCAAGGAAAAATAATCTCATTGTCCAATTCCTTGTGACAAAGCGTCAGGTTTTTGAGAAAAGCAACACTGTCCATTTGCCAAAAACCCTGATTCCCAGATTCTGACCATTAACTTTGAAAAATCATTATAAATCGTATAAGGGGCCATTTTTAACGTGTTAGATATCAATTTGAAGCTCAGGACGTTATCTTTCATCATACCAAATTTCATAATTAAACGCATTCAGGAGCATAATCAAAAAGTCACATGAACCAGTCAGTGTCAGTGTGCTTCCAGCACTGTTAGTTTAATATGTACATAACCAAATGAGCTCACGAATTTTTGTGGCTAAACCCCAAAAATTAGCCTTCAATCTACAGCTTTCCCTTGGAGGATTCAGGCCCTAAAATGTTACATTATTTCTGGGGGATGAGATTTTTGAAAATCCCAGTAACAAATTAACCAACTATAGCACCAAGCAAGCATCATTATTATGCATGATCACATTAACTACTATTAATGAACTAACATGCTTATCATTTGGCAAACTCAATCATGCAAAAGCCAAAGCAATATACTATAAAGAGCAGCCACATAACAATCAAGAGAGCTCAACCACAATAATAGCAATTAACCATACAATAATCAACAATGCTAGTTAGTGGTAGTAGCTAGGTTTAACTTGCTACCTTGATCCAAAGATTTGTGCTTTCTTTGATTCTCTTCTTTTTCTTCACAAAGGTCAAACCCTAGCATGATAATCCATAAAAATGACAACAAGAATCATTATCCATTTCAACCAAAAGCAAGAACATAACTGAAAAATACTCTTGCTTCAAAAAGGTTTCATCTTTGCTCTTTGCTTTCGAACTTGTTTTCTATAGGGTTTAAAAATCCTTTCTTGCCTTATCCCCACATGTTTTTCCATTTTAAACACCATGGAACCATCAAAACATTGTAAATCTCATTCTAGGGGCCATTTAGTGTCTAAACCGAAATGTTCCTTACAATACACAATAAAGAACACACTTCCAAAACACCCTAAAATCACTTGTAACCACTTGGATCTTTTATGTTTTGAAGTGTTTTACCATATTTGAGCAACATAACTCCTTCCCCTACACCATCATCATTTCATCCAGCACCCAAAGAAGAGAAGAAACAAGATTTCCAACCATACAAAGCAAGAAAACAAGGCAAGGAACAACTTAGAACCAAAAACTAACCTTGAATCTCACTTGTGTGCTCCAAGATGCTATTTTTCTTCTTAGTTCTTCCTTGGTTCCACTTGAAACACTCTCTTTTCTCTCTTGGCTATGGCTTGCACGAAATGGAGGTCTGATTTTAGGGGAGGAAGTGCTCATTTAATGCTTCAAAATATCTCAACTACCACCATTAATGCTAATCCAAGTGTCACTACCCCCTTAGTTCCTTCTTTCTCTTTCTTAATTAACTAAATCCAAATGAAATTAATTACCAAAAGTCAAAATCCTCTCCATTTAGAAAATAACACTTGGCAATTTCAAATCCTCTCCATTAAGGGCTTGACACTTGGCTCAATGAGGATCATTCAAAATGCAAAGCTCTTTATCGATGCACTTTGACTTCGGGTTTGAATCCTTTTCTATAATTACAGTATTCTAACCTCTGTAATTATTTTCTATCAGAGCCCTATTTTATTCTCCTCATTTTTATCTTTCTAAATTGCCCTCTTTTGTCTCGAAATTAATTTCCCCATAATTGACATAAAAGGAAAAATTAATTTCCTTTTCTTACGGATTTTTCCGCTTTTCAAAGAAATTAGAGAAAATCTTGGATACTTGAGGGTTTTCTTTTAATTCCATAATTTCTTATAATTCCTTGAGATATCATAGGAATTTTCTTGAACCTTTATTCTCCTTAAAATATTTATTTGGAATTTTCCAAATAAAAGCCCTTAAATTAGGCTAAATCACCCTTAAATTCCTTTGTAATTTCTCTAAGGGTAATTTGACCTTAAAACTAATTTTATAATCTCATATAATTCTCAAAGAATATTATCCTTATTTTTCCTTAATTTCTATGACTTGGAATATTTTTTCATAATTATTCTTGACCAATTTTCCTTAATTAGTCAAACTTTTCATAATTGGCTTGGAAAATCATAATAGTTGTTTTCCACCAAAATTCTTCTATTTCTCCTTATTATTTTTGACCCTCAATTATTTAGGAATATTCTTTATTTCGAATTACTATAATACTGGATGTGACATCATGTCATTGCCCAAATATTTTTAGCTTAAATGTGTCTTCTTCAAGGTTCGAACTCGTAACCACCTCTTTTCATAGAATCTTCTTGTTGTTGAGCTAGATTAAATTTGCTAATTATTATTGTAAAATAAAATATATATTATCATATTATACTTTCAGTAGCAACTTTCTAATGTCACTGCTGAAAGTCCGACATTGAGCGGTGACTTTAGAGACCTTGTAAAATTGCTGCTAAAAGTCTGAGACTGAATGGAAATTCTATTGTCACCACTGAAAGTCAACTTTTAGTGGCGATCCTAGAAAATCACCGCTGAAATTAAGTCCTTTAACAGTGACAAAAAAAGTCAGCACAAAAAGTCAACTTTTAGTGGTGACCACAAAAATGTCGTTTTGTGGCCATTGAAAGTCATATCATCGTCGAAAGTTTTTTTTTTAGTAGTGTAAATACAATAAACTCATAGAGTACAAAGTTTACTGCACAATATAATTCCTTCTCTTATTCACTTCTTCACGCTGAAGCTTTTTATATTATTTTGCAATCCAAATTTATATGTGATTTTCTTTTGTTTATTTTCAACGCCTTCTTTTCTTTTGCATTGCATTGCATTGGTAGTGTTTCCTTTTCAATCTGAAACTATCATTTTCCTTCTTTGCTTTCCTTCATAAATTTCGGATTCATCCAATACTATAATCAACTAAATATTCTGATTAGCAACAATATTACCTCATTGAACTTGATTGAAATAATTTAAGATTCATTGTTATCATCACCAAAATCGTTAAATGATCGACTAAAGTCAAAGGATCGATCAATAAACTAGAGAAAGTTATTAATTAAATAAGCACATACGCAGCATAGCATATCGTATCAAGAGATTAATAAAATACAAAGTAAAATACACTGATCACCCCCTCTATTTTATTTCAACTATAGAAACATCCTCTCTATTTTGAAAACATATATAAACTTCCCGTACAATTAAAATTTATGTTACCTAAACCTCCCTTACAATTAAAATATACGTTACACAAACCTCCCTCCTATATTTAAGATTTCATTTCCATTCATCCAAATCACTAAGTTTGACTTTAAATTATTTTTTTGGGAACAAAATGCCCCTTTTTAAATTAATAATTATTTAGAAATTTATATTTTCAAAAAATATTTTTTATAAAATCAAAAAATAATTCTAATACATATATTTTCAAAATTTCTAATATGTTATAAAATTTATTAATTTTGATATAAATCATAAAATTGTACAATTTTAATTTTTTATCACATTCATTAGAAATTATGTACTTTGATTTCTTTTAAATTGTAAAAAAAAAATTTTCAAATACACAGTTTTTGTTTATTGTAAACTTTGAATGACATATGTTCGAAAGATTTTATAAATTATTTAAATTTATAATTCAAAACTTTTCAACACATCTTTGTCACAAAAATTTATAAACATATTTAGTCAAGTCTATATATATTTATTAAAAAAATTAGTTAAACTTTTAATAAAGTCTTTTATGTTTATCTTAACTAAATGAAATTCATGTAACTATAAAAATATAATTTAAAAATGTCTTAGAATGGGGTAAAATAGTGCATAAGATTTATTTGAATATAAATTTCAGTTAAAAATAATATTTTTAGAATACTTCTAATAGTGTTAACTAATTAGACTAAACTATATGTTTTTAAAATAAAGAGGAAGTCTATGTAATTAATGCAAACTAGAAGGATACTCAGAGTATTTTACTCTAAAATATATGAATGATGTTTATCACTATATATAACTGTAACTGTGTGAGTCAAATATCGAATTCAAACATAATACACACACAAGATAATCGAAATACACAATTTGAATCATACAGAAATTAGAAGATTAATCTAAAAGGGATGTTCCAGATCTGATGGGGCGGCTAATCTGTCCTTCAAGGAGTTTGATACATACGACTTGGCTTCTCAAACAATTTGAATAGAGAATGCATAAGGCAGATCAATTCGTATGCTGCTTCTTGATGATAATATATAGAAATCAGAGCTTCCCAATTGTATCTTTTTAAACTGAAGGTTCTAGATGTTGTCCCCAGAGATGGACCAAACGAAACTTGATGAGTAATTAACCACTAGAAAGAGTTCATTTAATTAACTAGCCGCGTACGTACCACATAAGTCTTTAATACTATATTACATATAAATAAACGTTGACTCTCACAAAGTATTAAAATATTACGTTGGTCAAGTCCATTTTCCTAAAAGTGACATAATACCAGCACCTAAAAGCATAGAAATAGTTGCTCCAATTTGAAGACGAGTATTACTTTGCATTCTATCGGTCATGAAATCCGCAGCTAAAAGATCAACAAGTGCCATGTAGATTAAGAGTCCTGCAGATGCTGTACTTAAAATTCCTTCAGTGATAAGAGCCGTCTCACTATTTGCATCATACACATTAGTAATTCCTATACCAATCGCAATTCCCACCGGAGTTGTCAGAGCGAAGAACGAGGCCATGATTGCTACGGTTCTGTTCTTGTACTTAGCCTATAATAGTAAGGGAACAAATAAATCACAATAATGATTAGAAACTTAAAATAAACGGTGGTTGTGTTCTCCAATTGGACTTTTATTCGCTTGGCCTTAAAATATAAGTATCTAGTATCTGCACATATATGATATATAGGGTATGAAACATAAGTAAATTTGATGTAAAATATCTTTTGCTATGTAAGATATCTTAATTACTTTTTTCACATAAATATAGTGTTTTCTAATATTATTTAATATTGGTTTAATCATTTATTCAATATTTTGAATTGCTAAGAATATAATCAAACAAAGTGCATAAGGGATAATATTTTCATTGATTAACTAGCATTTAATTGAAAAATTCAAATGTAAATATCTCTGACTCGCGGAATTAATTGCAACGATTTTATTATCGAAATCAAGTTGTTGTTTTTCTTTTCTTTTGTTTTTTTTTTTTTTGAGCTGAAGTTGTTGTTTTTCAATCCAGGGAAGATAGTCGTAGACTTGATGGTAAGTCCTATCGAAATTAATATTAATATCAATATCTTTCTATATTGTTTACATCTTGTAGTTATTTTTGACTAATTCACATGCCTAGATAGCCTTGTTACACTCAAGGAACATAAAAGACCAAGGAACAAAATTTCTACATTGGATACGCTCAAAACAAAAAGGTCAAATCAAAAGAAATTATGTAAGTATGACTTAAAATCACTACTAATTAAATTTCCTTAACTTGGTGGCTAGTCTTCACATATAGTGTGTGTGTGTGTGTGTGTGTGTGTGTGTGTGTTTATTTTTTTCCTCATACCTGAGAGATAACACTTCCAAGGCCCATGCCCTCAAAAAATTGATGAATAGCCATAGCAGCAATCAACGGCTTTATGGTTTTGGGACTCTCTGATGCTCCCATAGAAAGTCCTATTATCACTGAGTGCACTATTATACCCATCTCCAATACCTGTATCAAATATAATGGCCATTAAATATTCTATAAAAGCACAACTTATAGAATAATATGTGTGTGTGTGTATGGATATGTGTGCGCGCGCGCATGCATGCACACACACACACATATATAGACCTGTGATATGATTCTATGACGTAGGAGTTGAGACGACTCAGAAGAATCAATCGACCCATAAGAATGACCATGTATTGCGTGAGTATGAACATGAATTTCTGTTTCTCCTCCATGTTCTGAGTTTTTCTCTTCATCATCATCACCATTGGCCTCGTTTTGGATTTTCCTCACATTAACTTTCTTGAAATGAGCGGTGGCGAATGTTTCCACAATTAGGGTTCCCATAGCTGTACACATAGCCACAAAACCAGTGAAGGGAAACTCAGCCCATGGATGTTTACTCAAGCAAGGAGACGTCAAGTTATTGAATGCATCATGAAGCACATGAACAAATCCGGTGGATAACACCACGCCGGCGGCGAAGGCCTTGACAAGGAAAAAGATATCCTTCTCAGGTCTTAACGCCGGAACAAACTTCCCAAGGGACGGAATCAAAACTCCGATAACACTAGCAACGATAATGGTAGCTATGGCGGCTAGTTTGTACTTGAGAGCTTTATCTTTATCACGATCTCCATCATCTTTATCACATGTACACTCTGAAACGACTAAGGATGGAAGCACGGCTAGAAGCACGAAGATGAAGAATGTGAAAATTTTGGTACCTCTCATCATTGTGATTTGAAACTAGAAAAGCACTTAAAAGTGGGTTTGAAGAGAGAAATTTTGGTGGCGTCTTTATAGAGAGAAGAGTGATTTGACCGGCGCATATTTGGGAAATTAAAAATGTTGCATTATTTGATGGAGAAATATAGACGGTGTAGTATGATTTTAATGTCAATATCTTACATAATATAAAATAGGGAAAATTTCTTCGTGGAATTAATAGCAAACTGATATTAATTCCACAAAGAAAATGACTCTATTGCGTCTCATAATACTTATTGCAGGGTGACATGTAAATGGAATAATTCCAGTTGTAAATAAAAGTATATATGTTGTAAATTGTCTGGTTCTACTTGCAAATGAGCTCTCCCACACTTATTCACTCATGGACATCTTTTTCAGGTGACGGAGGCGACATGTAAATTGACTAATTTTAATTTTAAATAAATATATGTATGTTACAAATTGTCTAATCCTACATGCAAATGGGCTCTCCCATACCTGTTCACTTATGGACACCTTCTTCGGGTGGTAAAGGGACTAATTCCAATTGTAAATATATGTATGTATATTGTAAATTTTCTAGTCTTACTTGCAAATGGGCTCTCTCACTTTTATTATGAGGGGCAATAGCATTATTTTTTTTTGTAGAATTAATATCAGTTTGTTCCCTTAGTCCTGCGGTGAAATTTCAGAAGGTTTTGGCGGCTCTTTCAAATTAATTATGTACTGTAGTCCTTAAAAGAAATTTTTCCTATAAAATATATCATCTTTGTCGTTACCAACATGTTGGACTATGTCTACGCACGAATAAAATAGTTTTAAGCATGTTTCCATTGGAAGCTACACTATTATATATGTTAGCAACTGGCTATTTACATTTTTCCAATATTGTACGGGCGTACACGGAACTTCTCATATAGAATTTGTCGTATATGGGTGTTTTATTTTATATTTGCCCTGTCCATCAACTGACTGCTAATAAGTTTCATGTATATCCACCCAACTTTTATTCAATTAACTTTGTCATTTTTCCCAGCAGTACCAATCATTCGATGATAATCTCTGTTTTTCTCAAAAAACGTTGACATCGTATTTAAAAAGCACCTGCCACTGACACAAATTAATTCTCGAATCATTTAATTTTTATATTAAAACTATAAATTAATAAGAGAATATACCAATTTATAAAATATCATTAACTAAAATTATAATATCTATGACATAATATAATTGGAAGAGAATATTGAACAAAAATCATCAGTAATGAATTTACATAATAATAATTAATTTTCGGGTAATCTCCTTAATATGAATTATAATAATAATGAAAGAATTTTTTTAATTTAAATGTATGTATGTGATCGTAATATAAAGTTTTTGATTAAGATAGGGCAGATGAGCTTATCCGAGTTCTAACAACACATCAAATTAGCCTCCTCCTTTTTATATATAAAAACAAATGTTGACAATTAGCACAATTCAAAAAAAATATATCCCTTGAATTGTTAGAATAATGTAATGAAGAGATAATATAACTTAATGTTTGAATTGTTTGAATAGTAAGTTGTTGTTCGATCTCATGATTCTGACTACAGTAGTGAGATATTTTGCGTCTACATTTATAGGTGTGGTTCATGGACACCTGTCTGATTTGATCGTTTAACGTCCCCCCTTTTTATAAGATAGCCGAATAAATTTATGGTAAACTCTTTCCCTCCCCTCTTGTCCCTTTAAACTAGAATCGTTTACAATTTGTATGAGGTTATTTAATAAGGTCAATACTTATATCAAATTTTTTATATGTATTATGTTAAGTTTTCCAACCATACATGAGCATGTGCCTTATTTTTAAAACATTAGTATTTAATAATATTTAATTATAAATTCATGTGAAACAAAAAAAGACACATGGCCATATGTGATAGGAGAACTTGGCATAATAATATAAAAAACCTGACCTAAGGTTTTTTTCCATTTGATAAAACCATTCACAATAGAAGGGAGACATCAACATCGAGATGTTTATGCGCATAAATAAATTAAGAAATACTAACTTTTTATAAACCAATGTTGATGAATCAAAAGAACCACATACTGAATAATACTTGCTCATATTATTGATCAAGGGCCACACGGCCATGAATTACACACACCAATAACAGACTCAATAACTCCTATTTATAGGCTACAGGGCCCAAACTAACAGAATCGAGCCCAACTACTAAACTGAACATGACACCCCTTAACACTCCCCCTCAAGTTTGGGGTGCATAGAGGTTTACAACTCCTAACTCGCTCAAAATTATGTCATGATCCTGCTTACCCAGCCCTTTGGTGAATATATCACCTTGCTGTTACTTACTTTTCACATGAGTAAGACTTATAACTCCCTGCTATAATTTTTCTGTAATAAAATGACAGTCTATTTCTATACACAGGATTATTTGCTATACAAATGGCTGATTTACTATCACAGTAAACATGTACAGGTTTCAAACCAGTCATTCCAAAGTCTTCTAATAACCGTTTGATCCATACCACCTTTGACACAGTATTGCTTAAGGCTCTGTATTATGCTTCTGCAGATGATTTGGAAATCGTGTTCTGCTTCTTTGACTTCCAGGATATTGGTGATCCTCCAAACTTTACTATGTAACCAGTCACAGACCTTCTAGTGTCAGGACATGTTCCCCAATCAGCATGCACAAAGCACACCAATTGAATATCCTGAGTTACTGCAAGCTTAATTCCAAGTCCTGGATAGCCCTTCAAATATCTAGCCACTCTTGTTGCTTTGTCGTATGATTTCCTTGGTGCATTCATGAATTGACTCAGTGCCTACACAGCAAAGCTTATGTTAGGTCTAGTCATAGTAAGATATGATAGCTTACTAATTAACCGCCTATATGTGGTTGGATCTGTGATCAAGGGGTCTTCTTCCTCATGCTTTGGTTTCCCACTCAGTCTTATATTCTGCTCAATAGGTATACCAAGTGGCTTTGCTACAGTCAAACCCATGCCAGTCAAAATATCCAATGTATATTTTCTTTGATTGAGTCTTATTCCATGTTTTGATCTAGCTACTTCTATTTGTAAGAAATATTTGAGTTGACCTAAATCCTTAATTTTGAATCTATTACATAAAAATTCCTTTACTTCATCAATCCTGTCTATTTGGTTTCCTGTGATCACAAGATCATCAACATAAACTAAAATTAAAGTCATTTCAGAACCAGTTTGCCTTATAAAATAATGAATAATCATACATGCTTTGCCTAAAACTAGCTTGTAAAAGAGCCTTACTAAGTTTAGCATTCCGTTGCCTAGACGCTTGCTTTAAACCATACGAGAATATCAATTTGCAAACTTTGTTGTTTCCATATTGAACAAATCCTTGTGGAATTCTCATGTACACCTCTTCCCTCTAGTCACCTTAAAGGAAGGCATTATGAACATCCATTTGAAAAAGGTTCCAACCATTTTTAACAGCAATATTAAGAACAATTCGTACTGTAACCATTTTTATCACAGGAGAAAAGGTCTCAAAATAGTCAACCCCTTCTTATTGACTATACCCTTTTGCAACTAATCTTGCCTTAAACCTATCTACCTCACCATTCGAATTATACTTTACCTTGTAGACCCACTTACACTCAATGGGTCTTTTACCTTTGGGTAGATCCACAATTTCCCAAGTACCATTATCTTCCAAGGCTCTTATTTCTACTTTCATTGCATCAATCCACGTAGGATCCTTGGTGGCTTGCTTAAAGCTGGATGGTTCTGTAATGCTCTCAAGACTAGACAAAACATGTTTAAAGTACATGGTTCTTGTGATATATGTGAATAAGATAAATATGACTGAATGGGATACCTTACCATTTTTGTAGTTGTGATTGTTGTATGATCTGTATCCATAATGCAAGCATATCCTACTAATGACTTAAAGTTTGTGTTAGTATGGCAAACATAGTCCTTTATCCAATTAGGTCTCCTTCTCTCTCTATTTGGTTTGCAACCTAGGGATCACCAGGCAGCTCGTTTGCTCTATAGGGATTGGGGGGCCAAAGCACAATTCTTCTTAAAGGAGGGTTGGTTTGTCCGGGTGACTGATCCTGCCATAATGTACTCCTACCTATATATAGCACCGACAACCAAAGTTGAGCATACATATGATGATCTTCATGGTGCCACGATGCCTAAAGTGTCTGCTCGCGCATGCTAGGGGCGGGTCTTGTGCATCGGTACAGGCCCCGGCCCTGGTTCCAACAACCAAAACCCTGGCGCCACAGGCGTCAAGGAACCGCAACCAAGTAAAGCACGCTGTTGGTCGCCCGGGCACCGATGCCGGCCAGTGTTGCATATCATGCCATTTGCGTCAAAGTGCACGCTCCACAGGCCACCACGGGCGGCGGCACCCACTAACATTTAGGGGGGTCAAATAGGAGTGAATAAAACCATTAGGACTCAAATGTAACGAGTAGATTTAATTTTGGTATGGGAGTGAAATTTTTGGACTATGCTGGAACAGTCTTGGACTAGTCTTGGACGTGCCAGGGCAGTCCTAGATGTGCCAAGGCGTGCCTCTCGGATAGGTGAGGAGCTTCTGTATCTATGGGATCTCCAGTCTCATGTAGTGGTTCTAGGTAGTTATTATGATTATTGGGTTTAATTAATGGTGGGGGCATGGGCTCAGCATCATAACTTCTACTTTTATTGCTAGAGGGATCAATCATTTGCGTATCATTATCTCCCCCTTGATTGAGACCTACTACATCTTTAAAAAGGAACCGGGATTCCTAGAAAATGACATCCCTACTAATGTGGATAGTTTTGGATTGAAGGTTATATAACAAGTAACCCTTTTGATTAGTGGGGTACCTAATAAAAACACAAGGATCTGAACGATGTTGAAACTTATCATGAGGTTGAAAAACTGTAGCAAAAGCTAGGCATCCAAATACTCTTAAAGAGGATAAATCTGGTTGGTGGTTATACAAAACTTCATAAGGGGTTCTGTTTGCTGATATTG